TCAACCTATGAACCAGGAGGTCACAGTTTGATTCCCAGACAGGGCACATGCCTGGGTTGTGGGCTTGATCCCCAATGTGGGGCGTGCAGGAGGCAGCCGATCAATCATTTTCTCTCATCATTGATGTTTCTATCTCTCCTTCTCCTTTCCTCTCTGAAATAAATAAAAATATATTTTAAAATAAAATAGAATGGAATATTTGACATTTTATAGTCCCTGCGCCAACTCCACCTGCCTCTGGGACAGTTTACCTGTTGACCATGACCTTTGCAGATCATTCTCTTCCATCCCTTCCCTAAGTGTCCAAGGACCTCAAATATCCTCCTGCCTGAGCTCCCACGAGACACAATCCTAAATTCCTGCTGCTTTTTTGTGCACAGCCACTGAATTCTTTATTTTTTTTTCTCCTACTAGACTTGCCTCAAAGCGAATGCCCCCAAAACAAAAACAAACAAACAAAAAAAACACCCTACAAAACCCTCAACAAATCAAGGTGTTATAAACAAAAGAGCCAATTTTATTTTTAGGAAGAATCTTTCCATCTGTGACATTGTGATTTAGAATAAGAAATCCATATATTTGATCTGCATTCTGCTCCTGCCACACAGCTCCCGAAAGCCCTGTAATATTCTAAGTAATAAGAGAGCTGGAGTACCTTTTGTTTTAATATTTGGTATTTTGCCCTCAGATAGCTCCAATTTCTGAAATAGTTCCAGAGTGATGAAGGTGAAAGGAGGGTCTGGTTATTCATAACAACTGCTTTCAACCAGCCTTGAGTTTATGTTAATGAGGTGATTTTTGGAAAACCCCTAGGCAGGATGGGAGCTGATTGCCAAGGGACCCAACCATGTGATTAGAGCAGCGATTTTCACCCCTTTTCATCTCATGGCACACATAGGCCAATTACTGAAATTCTGCAGCACATCAAAAATTATATTTTTTGCTGATCTGACAAAAAATAGGGATGATTTTGATTCATTCACACCAGACGACTATTGTGTTAGCTGTTGTCATTTTTTAATTTGACAATCTAAAGAAAAGAGGTCAGTGCCCCTAACTAAATGGTCAGGTATTTCATGTTTTTAAAATTCTGGCCATACACCATGTGTGGTGCATCTAAACTGAAAATCACTGAATTAGAGTGTGGGAACTTTCAACTCCACTCCCATCACCCTGGACCTCCAGGTAGGGGAGCCAGAGGCTGGAAATTGAGTTTAATCCTGAATGGCCAATGATTTAGTCAATCATGCCTAAATCATGCCTACATAATGGAGCCTCCATAAAAATCCCTAAGGTACAGGATTCAGAGAACTTCTGGGTTGGTGAACATGTGGGTGGGTGCCCAGACAGGGTGGGAAAGCTACACACCCCTTTCCCCATATCTTCCATCTGGCTGTGCCTGAGTCATGTCCTTTATAATAAGTAAACTGTTTTCCTAAGTTCCGTGAGCTGTTCTAGCAAATTAATCAAACCCAAGGAGAGGGTCATGGGACCCTCTAATTAAAAATTAAGTAAAAAACATGCCTCCTCTCAGTATAATACTATACTAATTAAGTTTAATATTAAGGTTACTTCTGGCTGGTGGGGTCATGGGTAATTTTTATGGCTTGTATTGTATGTCATATTTTTTTCCTTATCTCTAGTTCTACAATTAACAAATTACACTGGTTTAAGTCAAGAAAGGAGAAAAGGACATAGACTGCAGCCTCTGTACTTTATTTTTATATATCTTTATTGATTTCAGAGAGGAAGGGAGAGGGAGAGAGAGAGAGAGAAACATCACTGATGAGAGAGAATCATCGATCAGCTGCCTCCTGCACACCCCACACTGGGGATGAGCCCTCAACCTGGGCTCATACCCTGACCAGGAATCGAACTGTGACCTGTGATCTCCTGGTTCATAGGTTGAAGCTCAACCACTGAGCCACGCTGGCTAGGCACTGCCTCTGTACTTTTTACCAAGAAAGGCAAAACCCTTCTCCAAAGCCTCCCTCATTCCCACAAGTCTTCAACCTAAATGTCTGTGGCCAGATCATGTCACATGACCTCCACAGTTTCCATGTGAGGATGGAGGAGGGAGTATTCCAGCTTTTCAGCCTCTACAACCTTGAATAGAGAAAGGTGGTGACAGAGAAAGGGGTTGGAGATAAATATCAGCCTAAGCAACAGTGTCTGCAATGGTAAAATTTGGACAACACAAGGCAAAGAAAGAGAGACTGTGCAGAGTTTTTCTCAGTCTGGGGTGGGTATTACCACTCTGGTGTGTGACACTAGGTGTTCAGAAGAGGCTTCTGATAACAGAACTCAAAGAGCTCTGGGTTCTCCTTAAGACTTATCTTGGGAGTCAAAGTGTACCTAACCCTGTCCTTGTTAGAACTTTGTAGCAATAGTAATTATCATTACTCTCTACAAAGTGCCTTTTTACAAGTAGAGAATTGCTACCCTTGCACTACAGTTGAAAAAGTAAACTCAAGAAGGTTGTTAACAAATCACATTTAAAAGGCACTGATTCTCTCCCTGCTGCCGCCCAGCCACACAGAAGCAGCAGCTCAGGGACACTCAGGATTTGGCTCCATTTGTAACTCACCTGCTACCCACCTGGAACCCACCACCATGGCCATGGCTGAGGGAGGCACTGCAGCTGGAGGGGTAATGGGTGTTAATACTACTTTACAAGAGGTGTGGAAGACCAGCCTCATCCATGATGGCCTAACATGGAGTTCGAGGAGCTGCCAGAGCCTAGACAAAGGCCAAAACCATCTGAGTGAGCTTGCTTCTATCTGTGATGACCCTGTGTATGTCAAGTTGGTGGAGGCCCCAAACCAACCTCATTAATATTGATGACAACAACAAAAAAAAAACTAGGGAGATGGGTAGGTCCTCTGAAAAATTGACAGGAAGGGAAAACCCCTTAAAGTGGTTGGTTGCACTTGTGTGGTAGTTAAGGATTCTGGTAAAAACTCTCAGGCTAAAAATATCATCAAATGCAAGAAATGAGTGAATAAAAACTTGGCTCTTGTTGGAATAAATGAATGGACGCGAGTCCTCATTTCCTCCCAGCATGTGCTATTCGAGGATTCATGACTGTTGGCATGATAAGCACAAGAAGTGATCCTTCTGTCATAAACAGTTCTTCCCAGCACCAAGATAAAGGCACACTCTCTGCCCAGTTGGTCAACTCTTCTTGTCCTGGATGGATTGTTCTTGAATTATGTCTCTGTTATTCTAGAAAGACTTCTGACAAGGGTCTTAGACCTGGTTTATCATCTCTCTCATTGCTTGACATGGACAAATCACCAAGCCCTGTGTCCACTTTGCCCACAGTCACATTAGCAGCACAGTTCTTCCTCCTTATCTGTTAGTCAGTGTCTGGTATGTGCACACATTCCTGTCTCGTTGTCACCTTCTCTCTTCTTTCCTTCCAGAAAGTGATGTCAGTATCCAGCCCTGGCTGCTGACAGATGCTCAGACCACCGCTACTGATGGTGCAAGGGAGGGTGGCAGATGAGGCTGTTCCGTTCAGATCCTAGTTCACTGTGTATTGTTTATAGAAGAAATGTTTTAAGGTAGAGGAAGAGGAAGTGTATCAAGGATGTTTAAGGAGACCTTGTAAACATTTGTATTCTGGGTAACTGTTAGTGTTTCTTATTTTGGACTTTTTATTTTAAAGAACTGACAAGACTGTGTAGGTAAGAGTTCAGAAGTGTCCTCTAGTGTCATTCCAGGCTGGGTTGGCAGACACTCATATAGCTTTTCCAATATCCACTCCACCTGCTTCTTTCCTACCAAAAAACCCTCCTGATTTTACTCAAGGCAGCAATACGCCCAATTTAAAATACTCGCCTTATCTCCCTAGCTGGTTTGGCTCAGTGGGTAAAGCGTCAGCCTGTGGACTGAAGGGTCCTAGGTTCAATTCTGGTCAAGGGCACATGCCTGGTCGTGGGCTTGATTCCCAGTGTGGGGTGTGTAGGAGGCAGCTGATCAATGATTCTCTCTCATCATTGATGTTTCTCTCTCTCTTTCTCTCCTTTCCTCTCTGAAATCAATAAAAATATATTTAAAAATAAAATACTCACCTTACCACACTCACTTGAATTAGGAATGGCCATGTGACCCAATTCTGGCCAATAATATGCAGATTGAAGTTGCTGGGTGGGGGGCTCCCAGGAAAACTTTTTAAAGGGGAGAGTCTAGTTGGCATTGGCCTTTTTCTTTTTCTCTTCCTTTATTTTCCCCCTTGCCATGCAGACTCAATGGCCAAGCATTCATCTTGCATCCATGAACACAAGAGCCACATGCTGAAGATAGCAAAGTAGGAAGACAAGAATGACCGTAGGCCCTTGACAACATTAGGGAGCCACCTACCTGCTGGTGTTTTATGTAAAAACAATAATCATTTAAAGAAATAGACAAAAAGTCTATTTGGTTAATTCACTGTAATCAAGTTTCTGTTCATACAGTCAAACACAACCTTAATTAATAGACTGTTAAAACGCTTAATGTGCTAGTATAGAAAACTAGAGGCCCAGTGCATGAAATTTGTGCACTGGTAGGGTTCCTAGCGGCCGCCTGCCGCCTGACACCACCACTGGGGCCTCCCTCCCTTCCCCTGGCTGGCCCTGCTTCCTGGTCAAACTCCCAGATGAACTCTTGGTAGAAGGGACAATTTGCATACTATGTTTTTATTATATAGGATGGGTGAAAATGGACTGCAGAGTCTTTTAGAATAGTACTGCTCAAACTTTCATGTGCATGTACACCCCGTGGGGACCTTGTGAAAGATGCAGGTTCCGATTTGGTAGGTCTGCATTGGAGCCTGAAATTCTGCACTTCTCACAAGCTTGCAGCTAATGCTGCTGATGCCAGTCCCAGACCACCCTTTGAGTAGCAAGAATCTGGAAAATGACAGCTCTTTTGTCAGTCTGCTCTTATGTTGGAGGCATCCTGTTTTTCTTTGATCTGCTTATTATTCAGTAAAAAAAAATTCAGAGGACTCAGTGCATTTTCAACAAAAAGTTAATGTTTTATTTAGAATATCATTTTAGAGACAAAAAGCAGTTCACTTTGGCTAGCAAAATAAACTTAACAGAAGCATTTAAATAATGTAAATCAAATATTTTAGTAGATTTTTTTTCTTAGTTACTTGCTTTTCTGTCTTGTGCAGTTTCTGTCTTTTAGCCTAACTGGGTTCTTTCTAAGTTAATGCAGCTTTAATCCAAGGAACTACTTAATGAAATCGGAATGACTCAAATATTCCTCTGTATTCTCATTCAACTTCACTGTATTCAATGAAACACAAGGAAAACAACTTAGGGAAGTAGATTCAGAAGGAAACGTTTCTCCCTCTTGGTCATGTTATCTTTTCAGCAGAGACCTTGCCTGCTCTGAAATGGATGTTGAAAGAAAATTGTTATTGGGAGGTGATGATCAAAAGCAAACTTAGATGATTTTCACACCATCTGTCATCATGACCCAAAGGGAAAGGCAAGCCACATCACTTGCCTAATCAAGCCACTGCTTTACACAGAAGCTGCACATAGCTTCCTATTGTTATTATATTTTCTAGTTATGTACATTAAAAAAATACAACATTGTGTTAAATAGCAGGACAGCTAACAGTGAACATACAACACTACACTGACAAACCAAAACAGCTTGGTTAAGCCGAGGAGAGAAACAGCAGGTGGTCTTCATGGAGGGAAGCTGCCAATGCCCACCATCTCCTTAGTCCGTAACGGATCTGCTTTCTGAGGGTAGGCCTTCCGACTTCCGCCACTGGGCCAGGCGCTGCTTAAACCATTTCTGGAGGAGTGAAATGTGAAAAATTACCTGTCACATACTGAAAAAAAATGATGTCCATTCCCTTCTAAAAGATAGCCTCTGTGGTCCAAATAGAAAGGAGGATTGCCTGGCCAGGGTTGCTCAGTGGTTGAGCATCAACCTATGAACCAGGAGGTTATGATGCATAATTCCCGGTCAGGCCACATAACTAGGTTGTGGGTTCAATATCTAGTTGGGGCACGTATGGGAGGAAATCAATCGATGTTTCTTTCTCACATCAATGTTTCTCTTTCTCCCTTCTTCTCTTCTCTAAATCATTAAAACATAACTTTGGGTGAGGATTTAAAAAACAAAACAAAACAAAAAAAACTTGGAAGGGGGACTAGTGAGAAATAGAAGCAGCAAGCATTGATGGACCTGGGAGAGGATGAGTTAGAGGACTCTATGGGGAGTCAGACTTGATTCTCCGTGGTACTTCCCAACCTTTCACACATCATGGTGTACATTTAGAATGCTGATATTTTCATGTCCCGCTGTTCGGGTAGGTGACCACCGGGGGCCCTGCAGTCCCGTGTCCTGCCAACAGGAGCTCTATTGTAACCAATTGGCTATGAGAACTTGAGGAAGTTTCTAAAAATAGAGCACCCATCAGCTCAACTGTAAAAGAGGTAAGCTCAAGGGGTCGAAGTTGTCCCTTCAGGGATTTCTAGAATTTACCTGTTCTAGGGGTAAGCAGATGAGGGGACAGAAAGAGAGCAGAAAGAGCACAGCTATGGGATGCTAGACCTGGACTGTGCTGATGGAAATGTTGTGAGAAATAAATCGGGGGTTCTGACTTAGCAGAGATGGACACCTGCCCAGCTGCACATGTAACCTCAGAACAAACAGGCAGGCTGGCTCTAGGGCCGTGCTGGGGAAGATGCCATCTCTGCAGAGATCGAGGGAGCTGCAAGGCAGTTTGGCATAAGCTCAAGATCAGAAGAAAGGGTGAGAACCACAGGAGGAGTGTTTCTAAGGATCAAGGCCTGTGGAGATAGAAGGGAGTGAGGCTGCGGGACACTTTAGGGTTCTGCACCACCAATGCTAGGTTGGCTGCCCAGCATGGGACCATACCTGCGACTCCCCCTGACTGTACAACAGAGTTTACACACTGAAATGCTGTACACAGCTGTTAAGGCCAGTTGTCTTATACACCTTGGCACTGTGGGGTGGCAACGAGAAAAGTCCTATAAAGCCAGGGACAGCAGACTACCCACCCGTAGGGAAGCCTTCCTTTTGGGGACTGCTCTCTGGGTGCCACATTTCACTCCTGGGGATAACGAACCTTAAGGAGAAGAGAGAGCTCATGTAACGTTGGTGGCTTTAACCAAAGTTCTATTGCTAAAGGTGGGCACCATTTTCTTCTATAATCTGTGTGTGTTTAGTTAACTATGAAATCTGGTGTGAGGGCAGCATGGCTCCAGCTTCATTAATGAGGTAGCTCTATGGGGGTTTTCAAGGCTACAGGGTCTGGTTCAATAGGATTTCCAGTTGCCAGAGCTGAACAAAGGGCAGAGTTTTAAAGACTAATTAAAACTTGGAGGAGGAAAGTCTCGTTTTTATCAGGATTCATTTAGGACAAAGTGAGTGAGCTGGCTTCATTCAGAAGAGCCACCCACATCTTTACACTATTCATGAGGCAGAATATTAATGTACAGCTACCGAAAATAACCAGCAAGGACCACAGTTCTGAATTGGTGAGATGGCATCTAGATGCTTAACCAACGGAACCCTCACATCAGGGGATGGGACAAAGTTCAAGAAAAGCTCGACTATTTTCTAAAGATATATATTGTAAACCAAGTATCTCTATATATAAAAGGCTAATATGCCCTGACCGGTTTAGCTCAGTGGATAGAGTGTCGGCCTACGTACGGTCCCGGGTTCGATTCCGGTCAAGAGCATGTACCTTGGTTGCGGGCACATCCCCAGTAGGGGGTGTGCAGGAGGCAGCTGATCAATGTTTCTCTCTTATCAATGTTTCTAACTCTCTATCCCTCTCTCTTCCTCTCTGTAAAAAATCAATAAAATATATATATATTTTAAAAAGGCTAATATGCAAAGTGTCCCCTCAGAAGTTCAACCGGGAGACTGGGAGTTTGATTGCTCACTATGAGGTGCACTGACCACCAAGAGGCGGTGCAGAATGAAGCAAGGCCCCGGCCTGCAGCTGGCAGCCGGCAGCTGGGGAAGCAAGGCCCCAATCGGCCCTGATCACTGGCCAGGCCTAGGGACCCTACCCGTGCATGAATTTCATGCACTGGGTCTCTAGTGCATATAATAATTTAGCAAAGCAGTTGTTGTCCAACAAAAACCACCCAGCACCTTGCTTGCTCCCCCCTCCCCGCCGTAGAGCTGAATCTTTCCACATCTCACTCACATCAATTCTAATTTTCCACCTGGCTCTTCGTTGTTTCAGTCATCCCCTGGGAAAGACATTCACCCCTCACTTGCTTATAAACGAATGCCCTCATTACCCTCACCCATTGATGGAGATTTATTTACTCCAAGTGAACAGATGATAATTAGACACTGTGATAGGGAGGGGCTGAGGCAAAATAACATTGTTCCTGTCCTTCTCTCTAGTAACTAACATTTCATCCCTTTCAGGAGGAGACCTTTAGAGGTCTTTATTCCACTGATAAAACGTCTACAACTAAAAACCACTGAGTTCTGGAAATAGTCCCAGGACACCAAGAGCAGATAAAAATACTGGAAACCTCTCTGAGAACCAGTGCCAGCTACACTGGGCTCGAGTTAGTGATAATAGAAAACGCCAGATCATCGCGACCTCCCAAGGGGCTGATGAAAGAGCTTTCCCAGAGGCTCCTAACACTGACTTCAAAACAATGGAAGACACAGGGGTCGGTATTCTGCGGGGTTTATCTCATTTAAATGCAGGAGATATCAAACTACTGCCATGAGAAAAACCTATTCTATTCAGAAAACGCAACTTAAAAAGTTATTTCCATTAGGTCACCCTTCACGTCATTCTGGGTTCCCATAGGCGCCCCCTCCCACAGCAGAGGACATTGTCCTGCAGTGGGACAGCTAGTGAGAGGTCATCAAAGCCCCCAGTCAGAGAATGTGGCACCTTTTAGCCCCTCATGCCCCTGCCGGATCATCAGCAATGGTTATTATCTCACAGGAACATCTCCTGTTTATTTTTTCTACTGATGCATTACTTGTTCTAGGAAAATAAATAATATGATTCAAATTCTGGAGGTGGGGGTGTCAGGGATGAGGGAATCAGGATATGAAATAAAAATTATTTTGGTGCCCTTTATTAGTGGTGTAAAGGGACAACACTAATAAAGAATGGAAACTGGGTGTGCTGATACCCCGCTTATGTGGGGTCCTAGCACACCCTGGCCTCCAGGAGTTATTTAAAGGGCCCCTGCAAAGCCTGCTATAAATAAAAATGCTATTTATGTCTGAAAGTTCATCATTGGCATAATATCTCCAGAAGACACTTTAAAAATAAAAGATACTTTTAAAATGTGAATACTGTTTGAAAGATTAAAGATGAAATCATTCTCACATACCAGTGCACACTGGGGTTGAAGGGGGCAGGAGGGTGGGGGTGGAAAGAATGGGGAGTTGGAAGATGAGCCCCCACCTGAGGGGGGATGACAGAGGGATACCTTGGAAGCCTCTTCCCCCAACTTGCTGTTGCCTCTCTCTGAGCTCTGGGCTCTCAGATGCTTCCCTGCGGGTCTAAAAAGGAAGGCAGAGAGGCAAGCCCAGCTATGGCAGCCCGGGGAGGAAGAGGTGTTGCCCCCATGGCAGGAAAAGGAAGCCAGGGGCCCTGCTGTGAGGCTGACTCACCCCCACACCCACTCGTTTCAGGGCTGGGTCTACCATCTGTTTATTGGAGGGAGGTAGAAGAGAGGAAATGGGAGAAGGGGCAGATGCACCTGCTGTGCAGGGGTCTCCATTGGCTGACCTCAACCACAAAGAAGCAGGTGCCCTTACTTTCTTCCTGGCCCGCACTTGATTTCATGTCAGTTCTGTAATATAAGGTGAATCTTGAGGAAAGATAGAATATAGCTGGGATGGCTGTCATTTAATGCATGGATTTTACGGACTGAATTTCAGTCTTTTCCTCCCAGCCCTCTGAGGTGTCTGCGTTCTTCCTCTGTGGAGACAACATAGCATCCTGCCAGGGTTCAAATCCTAGCTCTGCTGCTTAGTTGTGTTCTTGAGCAAATTATTTAACCACTAGAGGCCTGGTGCATGAAATTCGTGCAGGGGGCGGGGGCTCTCAGCCTGGCCTATACCCTCTCCAATCAGGGACCCCTCAGGAGATAACTGGCAGTCGGACATCCTTCTCGAAATCTGGGACTGCTGGCTCCTAACCACTCACCTGCCTGCCTGCCTGATTGCCCTGAACTGCTCCCCTGACAGCCTGATTGCCCCCTAACTGCTCCCCCTGCTGGCCTGATTGCCCCTAACCGCCTCTGCCTTGGCCCCGGCCACCATGGCTTTGTCCAGAAGGATGTCCGGAAGATGTCTGGTCTAATTAGCATATTACCCTTTTATTAGTATAGATTCTGTGCCTTGGGTCTCTTCCCTGAACAATAGGGCTAATAGTTGTGACAAATACGTGATTTAATACTTGGAGGGTGCATGGAACAATACCTGGCAAGTTTCAGCCATTACAAAGGTCAACATAATTATTCTGCCTTACAGGTAAGGGGATGATGGTAATTCACCACGGGAGTATCAGAGGCTGAGAAGAGCTTAGACCCCCAGCTGGTGGGGTGCCCACAATAAATCCACAACATTCTCTTTAAAGGATGAGTAATCACTGTCTCTGTGATGACTCTTCCTTTCTAAATATAGCATGGGATTTTAAATAATAAAACTTCAGCAGGCCACCTCCTCACGGGTTCCAAGAAACATGAGCTGTAAGACTTGGGTTACAGCAAATCACCTTCTCCTAAATCCTGCTGTTCCCTTTGCTAAAACAGGTATGCTTGGCTTTCTATTTGACTTAGGAGTGAAAGGATTTTCTAGAAGCAAGTTGTCCAAAGTGTGCCTGGCTCAATTCATAAAAATCATTTTGGAGTTGGGGTGGAGGGTCTTAGTCCATTACAGGCTTTGAAGCCTCATGTGAGTATGGTTCGTGGTGAGGAGAGGACAAGCCGTCTGATGCTCTGGTGTGTGCAATGGGAAGAACAAGAACATCTCTGCTTTAGAGCTGAGACTAGAGGTGTGAAGTGCTTTGGGCTTCCGTGGGAGAGGTGCTAGAGCAGCTCCAACTAGTACGCATCATGCATAACCCATGTCTTTCCATGACCAAAGGGAAAATAAAGTCAGCGTTACCAAATAACACTGCACCTGGAGGTTAACAATCACGGATAGTGTTTCGTTCTCTACCCTAAACAATTTTCAGGATAATGTAGGAGGCTTTAAAAATAGATTTAAAAGTCCACGCCTTGAAGGGGACACCTGCTCCCACTCCCTAAAAGATTAAACCTGAGAGCCGGGGAGTTTTCAGATATGCGAACCAAAGCTCCCGGCTGTGTGCAACCTCAGCTCTGCAGCTGCGGGGAAGCTGGAAGGCGACGGCGTGGAGCTAAGGACCCCTGCCGTCCAGGCAAGCCCCTCTCTCTGGGCCTCAGTTTCCTCGTTTGTCAAGCCTGAGGACTGAGTTTATTGCTGGTCTCCAAGGTCCCCTCCAGCTCTGACACGGCCGCGGAGAGATTTGGGGGCGCCGGGCTCAGAGCGCAGGCGGCACCTCAGGAAGGGCGCCTAGGGGAGAAGCTGAGCCCGGGCAAGCGAGGCCGGAGTGGACAGGGCTCCTCCCAACCCGGGGAAAGGAGGGAGCTCGTCCCGGGCGGCAGAGGAGAGTGAAGGAAGGACGAACGTGAGATTTCTAAGCAGCTCCTGGGGAGCCCCCGCGGGCCAGGGATACAGGGGTAGACGGGGGGAGGGGGGGGGCGCCAGGGAGCCGGGAAGGCGGGGTGCGGCGGTAGGAGCGATGCAGAATCGGGGCTCCCGGGAACCGGCCCCGGAGCGCGTGCAAGAGCGATGAGGGATCGGGGAGGGCGGCGAGGGCGAGGGCGAGGGGCACCCTTCTATTCGCGTGGGTGGCGCGCGGTCCGGGGACGGGGTGCCCCGGGCGGGGGTCCGGGAGCGCGGGGCGCGAGGCCTCACCTGCGTCTCCTCCTCGGAAAGGCCGGCCTCGGCCGCGATGAGCAGCAGCGTGGTGGGGTCCGGGTGCTTGTTGACCTTGTTGAAGTTGTACTCCAGGATCTCCAGCTGGTCCTGCGTGGGGCCGCTCGCGGTCTCCGCCGACATGGTCCCGGCGCGGCTGCGGGGGAAGGAGAGGCGGCGGCGGTGAGCGAGGCCGGGGACGGGGCGCGCGGAGGGACGGGCACTGGGCCGGGGCGCGGGGCTGTCCCCTCCCGCGGTCGCACAGCGGCGGGGTCCCCGGGGCTGCGGGCTGCGGGGGAACCTGCCGGGACTCTTACAGCGACTTTCCCGGGGGTCCCGGTCTGGGTGGCGGGGAGGAGGGGACGCCGCGCGCCCTCGCGCCCTGAGACTCAGGAAGGAGCGCAGGAAGCGGTGGTGGTTTTGAAAAACCGCCTTCAAAGCTTCATGGGGAGGGAGCTGCCCGCGGGGCGTGGGTGACGGAGGGCGTGGGTGCCGGAGGGCGTGGGTGCCGGGTTCACGGCGCTCTGCCTCCGGGGAGCCCTCGGCAGGGAGGGCTGTGCACCCCACGCCTCCTCCTCCAGACGAAGGGCGCGTGGGACAGAAGTGACTGCTCCGACTTGGGCGGCGCTTTCATCTCTCCCTTTTGCAGAGGTGGACACGGGTCCACGGAGATGAGCATCAGGAGAAATTTCCCCCTGAGGGCTGGTGTGAGTCCCTGCAGCTGCACCCTCCTCCTCCCCGCCCCCCTCCACCCCGATTTTTAGGCCTGAGCCTGAGGCTGGGGGCCAGCTGCTGCTCACTGCCCAGCGTGGCCTGGCCACTGTTCCACAGGACATGGGAGAGAGCCCACCTCACTGTGTCCCGTCTAGGTAAGGACTCCAAGACAGAGCCAAAACCCGACTGAGGAGCATCTACAGCAGCTGTCCTTTAAAAGCGCAGACTCCCCCTGTGATTGTAGTAAAATACACTGTTGCCCTAGCCGGTGGGTCCTAGGTTGGATTCCGCTCAAGGGCACATGCCCAGGTTGAGGGCTAGATCCCAAGTAGGGGGCATGCAGGAGGCAGCCAGTCAATGATTCTCTCTCATCATTAATGCTTCTCTCTCTCCCTCTCCCTTCCTCTCTGAAATCAATAAAAATATGTTAACATACAATAAAATACACTATAAAGTCAAGAGAACAGGTCCATTACAAGCTTCAAGCTCTCTTGTATTTCCTTACTTTAGAATCAGACATTGCTCTAGCAGATTTGGGGCAACATGATGACTTCCTACATTCCTAACTAGCCTCTGACTAAGGCCCCCCTACCCCAAAAGCCAGCTGTGCACCCTTCCACTCCCTCTCCCACTTTAAAATATATAGAGGTGTAAATTTAGAGTCTTCAAGACCTTGGCTGTGGATTTGGTGCTAACAGGCGGGGACTTCACCTTGCTGGCAGTAAAAAACAAGTGCAAGTGTGGAAATCGCATTGGTTTGTTGTTGGAACAAATGATTGCAAAATCATCAGCTACAATCCTGAGCACGGTTTGTGCCTGGGAAGGGCCACCCTCCACAGTTCCGCCTGCATAATGTTACCTGAACCTTTCTATGGTGACCTGCATCCCAGGCTCCCTAAATAAATATCTTTCCCTCTCCTCTACGTCATTTGAAGAGGCTTTCCTGTAACAGAGAATCTTGGGCTCAAGCCACTTGTCAGGTCACTGTAAAATCTCCCTGTGGTAGGGCTGGCTTTAGGCAAATAGCCCCTGCTATAAATACGCTAAATCTCCCTGTGTTTTAGGGAGCTCTGTGCTCCTCCTCCTAACAACTCCTAGCAGGGATTCCTGTCACAGTGCTGAGTCAGGCAGGGTCCAGCCAGGTCAGCAAGGCCTCCTCTCCCGTGGGCGCCTATCTCCCTGTTTCTTTGACACAGAACTTCCATTTTCTCCTATAACAGCCCAGGAGAACGAGGCCCAGGAAGACTTACTTTCCCAATGTCACCCAGGGAGCGACCAGCACCCTGGAATGGAAAGCCTTAGCTTCAGTTTCAGTCCCATGTTCTACTACACCTCTTCCAACAGGCCATTCCATCTCCAGTTTGGCCAAAAATCTCATGAGGGCAACAGTTCAACGCAGGCAGGGCTTGTTGCCATTTTGAATGGGCATAGACTGCCCGCTTAGGATACCCATGCAAGCCATAGCCGCCCATTGGAAACACCCACCACTGCTCATTTTGCCTAAAAGAACACAGGAGACGGGAAACTGCTGCCCAGAAAGGTTCCGTCCTATTCCATTGACACAGTTATGCTGGCTCTTCCTTAAAACGTGCTACTTCTTTCTGGAGCGCTCAGTCCTTCACAGAAAGATTAATCAAATGAACAGATGTCTAAGCTGGACTCCGATTCAAGCACTGTTATGCATGTACTTTCCCTCTTTTTAAAATTTAATTGCTGTATGTAATTCCAGGGCGGGCTAGTGCCCCTCGACTCAATCAGGTGCATTTTCTCTTACTGCGTTTTTGTGGCTTCCTGTTACAGGCCTTTGTAAGAGGTTTCATGGGTAGGCCCCGGTTGACTTTGAAGCAGTCCCTGGGTTAGCTGGCTGAGGACCATTGGACTGGCTGGCTGGCTGCCGAGGAGATTTGTGGGAGGACCGTTTGAAAGCACCTGCTTCTCCAAGGTACATCTAACAGAACTGATTTCTAGACATGAAGTTGGAAGCTCTAACCTCTACTGTGAGCTCTACTTCGCTTCTCCACAAAACTCTGTCATTTCAGCCCTCTTTGGATGACAAGTGCTTGCTGCTGCTTCTTTGTCTCTTCTCTCTTTCTTTTAAAGGAAACTTATAAACCAAATCATTCTAGTGACCTTGGCCTTGCAAAGCTTTTCCTTGCCAGTAAGGAAACTGTTGAAAAGTTTCTCTGAAGGTAGTCTAAACAATTTTAGATGAAAAGAACTAAAAATATTTTAAAGCTTCTTAAACTTTAATTTTAGCACAAGTTCTATTGTTGCTGCGGTTATTAATGTCTTGTGAAATTTTCAAACAGCAGTTTGTCTTGTGGCTGTGTTTTCTTTTGTGGATGGGGGGAGATAATGCACAAACATGTCCAAAGTGGTTAAATGAAAGTTGCTGGCTTTTTCCTAAATCAACTCCAATGCCTGGTTGACAGCGCCACCTTTGTTCCCTACTCCTGTTTATTTACTTTAAAGGTGTTTACCTATATGAACTGGTTTACAGGAAGAGCGACAACTGGCAACTTGTAGAGATTGCCATGGACTCACACTTATCTTCTCCCTCACCCAGCCGTTCTCACCTCTTTGTAAAGCCACTAATGTCAAACCAAGAGAAAAAAGATGATCAGGGGCAGGTACTCCTCATAAACAGAGTCCCATGGTGAGCTGGCCAAAAGCAAAAAAAGCAGATGAATCATTCTTCAGGCCCGTCTCCCAATTTTCTTTAGCTTGGAATTCCCTTTATGTTCACTGTGCACTTCCTGGAAGCAATGGACTCTTGAAGCATTTTGTATTTTCTTAAGTGGAAAAAAAAAAAAGATGTGCTGCCATTTCCCCCAAAAAAGTGGTGGTCTTTGGAAGGGGGTAGGGTTTTGCCACTCACCACTTACTACACTACTGTGGATGAGGTGGGAGGGAAATCACCCAAGCTGTGTCTCTCAGGAACTGACAGATAGGAGTGGAATACTGATCTGCCTCCCCACACTAACACAGGTCTGGTTAAAGGAGAGAGAGTTTTATTTTGGGTTTTGATTGGTTAAGGTCTTTCAGCTTAGGGCAGTAGTTCCCATGCTTGCCTGGGCCTCTGAATCACCTGTAGAAAGGTCCAGGCCCCCCCAGATCTCCTGAATCAGAACCACATTTTAAGAATCCAGCATGGGAGAGACATAAGAAGTTTTCCAGCTCCTATATGATTTTGCAGTTTAATCCTTAAAGTCTACTATAGATGTTTAGAGCTTCTTATATCTTATAGCTATAAAGATGCATTGAAATATCTTCTAACTCTAACACTGTATCCTCTCAGCAGTTGATGAGATGGTAAGTTGAGGTAGTCTTAAAGGAATAAGGTTTTAAAAATACACATGGAAGGAAAATGTAAACAGCCTGCTATTAATCTTTTGTAAATATGGTCAGGAATAGGGAAATTACCTTTAAAATTATGAATTATCAAAAGACTGTTTTCCATGGTTTCAAAAATTAGAAATAATGTAAAACCCTTTTTAAAAACTTTCAGAAAAAATGTATTCTTGTGTTGAGATTAGAGTTTAAGAAAGCAGGTCATCAAAAGAAAAATTCCTTCCACCCCATCAGACCAATTTGCATAATTGATTTAGAAGCTAAAAATTACAGTGAAAAAGATTTGGCAACCTTGAGTTTGATTGTCCTCCTCTAATTCCTTAAATGTTCCAGTGAGGGAAATGCTAAAAGTTAAGTTGTCATTTATACAGAAAACTTATAGAATAGAACTGAAAACTGAACATTAGACTATGAATATACTGTGTACACATAATGTCATTGCTGTCTCTAGGGAAACAAGATTCCAAACCTTTATGAGAAAACACATTTTTAAATGCTATATTGATTCAAATTTTACATAGTGAAAAAAATAAACTGGAGGAAAATATAACAAAAAGTTAACAGTGGTTATATCTAGATTGTGGGACTTCAGATGACCTAAAATTTTTATTCTTTATATTTTTTTCTGGTTTTTCACATTTATTACTTGGAAATTAGAAATTTTATTTATTTTTCTTAGGAAAAGGCACCCTTGATCAGATCAATTGTCTGTCTTCTATTTCATCTGAGTTTTGTACCAAATTACATTTTCAGAATAAGCATGAGAGTTGCTTTCCATCAAGTCTACCTAGATGATTAGGGAAATAAGAATTTTCATTTCCCACTCAAATATTATTAGGTATCTAAGGAGATATATATATATATATATATATATATATATATATATATGTAATCTACATATAATTTATGAAACATAAATTAAATTATTACCAGGCCTATGGAAGCTACTTGTATTTCCTTCCCAATCCCAGCCTCTGGCTTATCTACCTCCAGAAGAAACCAAGGCTCTGACTTTTGTATTAATCATTTTCTTGCTTTTAAAATTAGTTCTTTCACATATGTATGGTTCCCTAAAAGGACACTTTTTTTTAG